GATGTGTTCTATTTTTAGAAATGATGTAATATTCTATTTTTAACAATCATCGACCTCTGGTCGTCTGGGGTCAAGGTCACACCAAGGTCAACTCAAGGTCATCGACCTCTGGTCGTTTGGGGTCAAGGTCATGCCAATGTCAAATCAAGGTCATCGACCTCTGGTCGTATGGGGTCAAGGCCACGCCAAGGTCAAGTCAAGGTCATCGACCTCTGGCCGTCTGGGGTCAAGGCCGCGCCAAGAACATATCAAGGTCATCGACCTCTGGTCGGCAGTAGTCAAGGTCACGTCAAGGGCATCGGCCTCTGGTCGTCAGGGGTCAAGGTCACCTCAAGGTCATCGACCTACGGTCGTCTGGGGTCAAGGTCAACGACCTACGGTCGTCTGGAGTCAAGGTCTGCACATTGCACATGCTCCGCTCAGCACTCTCATTTATTTATTTTATTATTTTTTACTGATGACAATTCACTAAAATCATAATATAGACTGCCAGGGAAAATAATATTTATTTAAAAAAATTAGTATTAACAAAAAATAAAATTACCAATGGTTCTGGTTAAGCTTAGAACGCTCTGCCGTATCATCTAATGACATCGATGAAGTAAATGGAGCATTTTTTTGTATGGTATGTAATGTTTCAACTGAACTTGTGGATGAAGCGTCGGCTGGATTAGTTAGACTTCTAAATTTGGAACTGAACCAGGGTTTAGGCAAATTTGACTTCCAGCATTCAGAATTTTTTTTTTTTATTTCTGTGACCATTTAAATTCGTGATCAAGTCTCAAACTTTCTACCCATTTTATAATCATTTCTCTCCTCGGAAAGCTGCAAGATTATTTAAACAGTTGTTGCAAGAAATAAATTCAAAAAATCACTCTTACCGATGAAATGTAATTCCTTTTGGTTTAAAACGCCTTATGTTAAAAAGCACCCCTTCACAGCACACAACATAAAAAAACAATAAAGGGTAAATGTTTTCCTTAGTGTAGAAACGATGTATTGAATATTAAAAAACGTCCATAGCGCCAATTTGCCGCTCCAGGTGGAAATTATACGTATATAAACAAATAGTTACTAATAAATAATTCACGAAACATAACCTTGCTCACTCCTCAAAAATCAAAACAAAACAAAGTCATGTCATGTTCAAAATGGCGGCACTGGTAGTGTCCCTCGAAAATAGGATGCACAGAAGTCAATAAGCCTTCTCCCTACTCTATATCTCTGGTATGTGTAGGTTGATTACGGCTACAATTTAAAAATATTTTGAAATATACAGGGTGTCCAGGAAAAGCGTACCATATCAAAGTTATGTATTTTTAAATGGAACACCCTGTATTTTACTGTATTTTTGAAAGCACCGTGAAAAATAGGTAAACTTTATTAAAGGTTCTGCATACTTAGGACTTACAGTTTGTGAGATATTTCAATTTTAGTGAAAATGCAGGCATAGCGTAGAAATTTAATATTAGCAATTGTGGCGGCATGTTACAATTACATTTTTATATTTAATTAGCAAATAAATTTATTTTTGTAATTAATATCACATTAATTATAAAATAATTAATATCACATTATATTAAGCTGTATTTAGAGTAAATGAGATTAGGAATAAGTGCATCATTAATTATAGAGCTTTAGGTACCTAACTTGTTTATTAGACAGTATCCAGATGTGGGGTTTTACCAGGGTTAGAAGTAGGTACACGACCGAGAGGGCAAATTTATCTTAGATCAGGCAAAGAAACGACATTATTAGTATGGGTTAAGTCTTGTTCCCGATCTGTCATGCTGTCTTGTAAAGAAGCGTTCAAAAAAGTTATATTGTTACACGTTGCGTTTTTCTTTGGGTGAACTCGAAGCACCCATAAATTGGTGACCCCGACGTGATCTGCCATATAGAGAAGATAGTGTAGTTCAAGTGAACATAAAAGTTTTTTTTCACGAAATGCCCAACACCAAACGTAAATGTTATATATGCAAGAATAATGCACCTAGCATGGTTTGAATGCTTTTAGTTAGAATCATAGCGATGATTTCTTGTCCGTTTATTTGTCGGGTTTTTGTCTTTTTATTTCTGATTTACCCGAAAATCTTACAGTAACGATAGCGACAACACCGCCAGAAACCTCGCGGAAGGAACGGACAGTGCCGAACTACACCGCGTGAGTGTCCGCGTACCGCCGTTTTGGAGTGATAAGGTAGGACTTTGGTTTTGTCAATTGGAGGCACAGTTTAGTATCGCCGGGGTAAGGCAGGACTCGACAAAATTCGGTTACGTCGTTGGAAATTTAGATAGCCGATACATCGAAGAAGTAGAGGATATTATTTGCAACCCACCTGCGCAAAACCAGTAGGAGACTTTGAAAAGCGCACTCATCAAGCGTTTGTCGGTCTCTAGCAGCCAACGAGTACGAAAACTGTTAGAAAGTGAAGAGTTAGGGGACCGCACACCTTCCCAATTTCTACGACAGTTACGAAAACTAGCAGGTAAAAATGTGAACGAAGAATTTATAAAAACCCTGTGGATGAACCGGTTGCTGACGCCTACACAGCGAGTGCTCGCAGCATCGCTGCAACAACCCTTGGCCGAAATGGCTGAAGTGGCGGACCGAGTACAGGAAATCGGACCATCGAGGAGCCAAGTATCTCAAGTGAATGTAAAGGAAGATGTGCCAGTCTCAATTCAAACACCCGCTAATAGCGAATTGGCTACCCTACGTGTAGAAATGCAGCAACTGCGTTTCGCTCTTCAGGAGATAAGAGCAGAAAAGGAGCAACGCCGCCGGTGTTCGCGACCACGAAGTCGGCCCCGCGACCAAAGCAATGCAAGGGGACGTAGTGCTAGTGGCGATCGCGATACGTGCTGGTACCATCACCGTTTCGGAGCTAACGCTACAAAATGCCGCGCGCCATGCAAATACTCTCAGGGAAACGAGTAGCATTCTACGGTCTACTGGTCGACGTCCGCGCGCGACGTCTCATAGACAAAACGACTAGAGTCGAAAGGAGAAAACGTACTAAACGAAGTGCAGTCCATAAAAACGATAATAGTAGAGTCGGAGTTTTCTCGTTTACTAAGCGAATACCCCGATATTACACGACCCGCCGGAACAGTGGGCCAAACGGTTAAACACGACGTCGTGCACCATAACACCACAACACCCGGACCACCCGTTTTCTGCCGCCCTCGACGTTTGGCCCCTGATCATCTGAAGTCAGCGAAAACAGATTTCGAGCTGATGTTACAACAAGGAATCATCCGCGCATCAAAAAGTCCATGGCCATCTGCTTTACATCTGGTACCGAAGAAGGATGACGCATGGAGACCCTGCGGAGATTATAGGGCTTTGAATGCCAGGACAATTCCAGACCGATATCCTCTACCGCACATCGAAGATTTCGCACAGTCTCTATACGGTAAAACAATATTCTCCCAGATAGATCTGACTAGACCGTACCACCAGATCCCCATAGCACCAGAAGACGTAGAGAAAACCGCTGTTACTTCGAACAATCCGTTTGGATTGTTCGAATTCCCGCGTATGCCGTTCGGTTTACGTAATGCGCCACAGACGTTTCAGCGATTTATCGACCACGTCCTACGCGGACTGGACTTTTGCTACACATACATCGATGACGTTTTAGTGGGTATCGCGCGACAAAGAAGAGCATCAGCAACATTTAAAAACAATATTCGAACGTTTCAGCGAGTACGGGTTAGTAATTAACGATTCGAAGTGCGTATTCGGTGTCAGCGAAGTCAAATTCGTGGGGTACAGTGTCAATCACAGTGGTACGAGGCCATCGCCAGAACGAGTTCAGGCAATCGTAGAATTTCCCAAGCCCGTGTCAGTATGCCAACTACGAAGGTTTTTGGGCATGCTACAGGGGCCCAAGCTAAAAGGAAACACACCGGTAAAGTGGACCGAACGCGCGCAGGAAGCATTCAACAACATAAAAAGCGGATTAGCGGAAGCAACAATGTTGGTACATCCTTTTCCAGCAGCCCCGCTGGCGGTGACGGTGGACGCATCCGACTACCCCATAGGCAGCACCCTACAGCAGCTGGTTAACGGAGATTGGTAACCTTTAGCTTTTTATACGAAATCCTTGTCAGCCGCACAACGTAAATACAGTGCGTACGATCGCGAACTTTACGCGATATACGCGGCAGTGAAACGATTTCATAACGCGGTAGGACGCGAGTTCGTGATTTTCACAGACCATAAACCGCTGATTTACACGTTTCAACAAAAATCAGATAAGTGTTCACCCCAACAGTTATGATACCTTGATTTCATCGGCCAATTTTCAACGGACATTCGTCACATTGGGAGCGAAAATGCAGTGGCCGACGCGTTATCGCGAGTGGAGACGATTTCACGAGCAGTGGATTACCAGACATTAGCCAAGGCGCAGGAAGATGATTTAGAATTAAAAAAACTTTGCGAGGAAAAGACTAGTGCTTCGAAATTGCGGAAAATATATACCGGATTTCAAGTGTAACTTGTTTTATGACTTGCAAAATCAGCAAGGGTTTACGTACCCGAGCCGTTACGACGCGAAATTTTCAATTTGTTACACGGTTTATCACACCCTGGCATTCGGGCAACGCAAAGACTTTTAACGGAACGTTACGTGTGGTCGTCAATTAACAAAGACTGTCGAGACTGGGCGCGACGATGTATCCCGTGCCAACGAGCCAAAACTACGCGACATGTGACCCCACCAGTAGGAAATTTTGCGAATACAGGAAACAGGTTCGAGCATGTACACAGACATAGTGGGCCGATCTCACGAGGTTACCGCTATTGCCTCACGTGCGTCGATCGCTACACACGTTGGCCGGAGGCTGTACCTATCGAGAATATCGAAGCCGAAACAGTAGCCCTCGTTTTCTTGAAAACCTGGATTGCAAGATTCGGAGTCCCCCTCAGGGTGACGTTAGACCAAGGGCGCCAGTTCGAATCCCGGTTGTTTAAAGAACTTTTACGTCTCATGGGAACGTCGCATCTACGAACGACGGCATACCACCCCGCAGCTAATGGCATGGTTGAAAGGTTCCACCGTCAACTTAAGGCCGCGATTAAGTGCCACGAGACGGAGCGATGGGTGGAAGTTTTACCCATCGTACTGCTAGGAATCCGGACGTCCATTAAAGAAGATCTGCGAGCGACAACTGCGCAAATGGTTTACGGTACAACCACCATCCGCTTGCCAGGAGAGTTTTTCACCCCGTCTAAAAAGACCAAAGAGGTAGATTACGTAGTGCAACTTCGACGGAACATCCAAAAGACCAGACCAACACGAATGGTGAGACACGGTGAAAGAAAGACGTATATGTTCAAGGGCTTAGCAGACGCACAATATGTGTTTGTACGAAACGACGCCGTCCGCGGCCAGTTGCAGCCACCTTATGACGGACCTTTCGAGGTACAAAAGCGATCCACCCACAACTACATAATACGTATTAACGGAAAGGATCTGCGAATAAATACCGAACGTTTAAAACCCGCTCATACGTTCGTCGAAGACTACATAGAGCAAAGCAAGGCAGAACGCGAAAGAGAGACACCCGACAACGACGCCGACGACAGCGGCGTACAATCCAGGGCAGCCGAAAACCAGCTAACACGAACAGGTAGACGAGTACGATTCCCAGATCGTTTACAAGTTGGACTAGATTGACCAATTTCATTTTATTTTTCCAATATGAAAAGCTATTGCTGGAAAGGGGGTGATGTGGCGGCATGTTACAATTACATTTTTATATTTAATTAGCAAATAAATTTGTTTTTGTAATTAATATCACATTAATTAATCACATTATATTAAGCTGTATTTAAAGTAAATGAGATTAGGAATAAGTACATCATTAATTATAGAGCTTTAGGTACCTAACTTGTTTTACCAGGGTTAGAAGTAGGTACACGACCGAGAGGGCAAATTTATCTTAGATCAGGCACAGAAACGACATTATTAGTACGGGTTAAGTCTTGTTCTCGATCGGTCGTGCTGTCCTGTAAAGAAGCGTTTAATAAAGTTATATTGTTACACGTTGCGTTTTTCTTTGGGTGAACTCGAAGCACCCATACAATAAAAAAATTATTTTAAGGAAGCAGCTTTGGAGGGTCTATTTTAGATCCTTCAAGTTGTAAATTGTTATATTTGTCGTCACTTAGTATTATACAGGGTGTTCAAAAAACTGCTGAATACTTCTCTCAACTTTAAACAGCAATAACTTATATTATTTTATGGGACACCCAGTATATTTTTACTTTGGGAGTTAGGAAATTTAAAACTCTTTAAAACTGTGTATAGGTTCCGTATACCTATCTCTAACGGTATTGGAGATATTTGTGCCGTTCCGTAACTGAATTATTTATAAACATGGAAACTATTTATTAAAGAAAATTTTACTTTTAGAAGAAACAAAGGAAAATTTTAATAGATGTTCGAGTTGATAACTATTCTCTTGAATACAGCATCTTATTCTATCTTCAAATGATATTCACACATTCCTAAGAATATTTGGGGTGATTGTGGCAAATGCATCTATAATTCTTCCCTTCATATCATCGCAAATAGTAGGTGGAACACTGTATACAAGATTTTTATATAGCCCGAAACAAAGAAGTCCATTACGGGAGGTTTGGACACCTAGGTAGCCACTGACGTGGACCATTCCTACCTATTCATTTATTACTAAATTTTCGATTTACATAATTTCTCACTGAATATGAAAAATGTACAGGTGCGTGATCTAATTGCATTCACATTTTTCTCCTTATATTTAAAGTGACGTCATCAAAAAGAACCCAAACTAATTCAATAAAGACCTCGATACAGACACGTGGATACATCTTACAAAAAAATTCGATAAAAAACGAAACGGCACAAATATCTCCAATACCGTTAGAGACGGGTATAGGGAACCTATACACAGTTTGAAAGAGTTTTAAATTTCCTAACTCCCAAAGTAAAAATATACTGGGTGTCCCATTTAAAATAACCAAGTTATTGCTGTTTAAAGTTGAGAGAAGTATTCAGCAGTTTTTTGAACACCCTGTATAAAACTAAGTGACGACAAATATAATAATTTATAACTTCAAGGGTCTAAAATAGACGCTCCAAAGCTGCTTTCTTAAAATTATTTTTTTATTGCTAATATTAAATTTCTACGCTAAGCTTGTATTTTCACTAAAATTGAAATATCTTACAAACTGTCAGTCCTAGGTATGCAGAACCTTTAATAAAGTTCACGTATTTTTTTAAGGTGCTTTCAAAAATGCTGTAAAATACAGGGTGTTCCGTTTAAAAATACATAACTTTGATAAGGTACGCTTTTCCTGGACACCTTGAATATTTCAAAATATTTTTAAATTGTAGCCACAATCAAACTCCACATACCCACCTAAACAGGTTTCTGTAATATTTGCCGTTTGGTCCCTAGCGACCGAGGCGTTACTGGTGGCCCACCTTGTACAATTCATTTATGCACACACATACAATAGCCTAGATATTAAATCTAGATATATCACATTGTTTAATCTTGTCACATTTAAAACATATTTCGTATTATTAGATAATAACTCATATTCAAATATAAATATAAGGTGTTGATTAATTGAGTCAACGTTACGTTGCAAACCATCTATTTACTTATAAATTAATATTGCTTCACACTTTTCATTTCATCGTTCGCCATTATGGAGGCTCAATTAAATGCATTAATAACAAAACATATATTATGTTAAAGGCACAGCTAACAAGGTTTGAAAAGTTTTTAAACAATAGCTCTGTTCGCGGAGCCTGTCAAATTAGTACGGGATCAGTCAGAAGCAATCGTTTAGCTACTTCTTTTATGCTGTGCTTGTAGGAAATATCACAGAAAGTAGCTGGACGACTGCTTCTGACTGATCCCAGACTAATTTGACAGGCTCCGCGAACAGAGCTATTGTTGATCAATCACCTGCACAATTAGCGGAGTTACAAAAACGCACACAAAAAATGGAGCCGATATTCAGCTCTTAGATGATAAACCCGATCACGACAAAGAAACGGAAGAATTCGAAAATAAATACTTTAACCTCAGAAGCGGAGTCAAAGATCAAAGCCTCGGTAAATAATCCGACGGAGAGTACGAGTAGCGCATCCACGTCTAACAATACTATATCAAATGTTAAGTTACCGGACATTAACCTTCCCGAAAGGAAGTGACGAGACTTGGGTGTCGTTTCGGGATTCTTTCAATTTTTTGATACATAATAATCCTCATTTAACTATAAGTGAAAAATTCTATTATTTACGAAGTGCTATAAAGAATGAGGTAGCAGAATGTATAAAAAATTTGGAAACATCCGATCAACATTACACAGTGGCGTGGTACTTATTAAAAGAGCGTTACGAAAACAAGAAATTAATAATTCATAGTCATTTAAAAAATATATTTGAGCTTCCAAATGTAAATCAAGAATCACACGTGTCATTAAGACAATTTTTAGATACATTTAAACAACATTTACGTGCCCTAAAAAACCTCGGGGAGTCAGTAAATACATGGGACACTATTTTGATTTTTTTGTTAATGTCTAAGTTAGATTTCATCACAAGACAGGAATGGGAAGTTAGTACAAAATATGATACATCAGCAAAGGTCGACGATTTCATAAAATTCTTACATAACAAGTGCCTATTATTACAATTAGCAACAAGGTTTTTACCATAGACCTCCTAGACTGGCTTATAGAGCTACTTTAGTGAAAACACTTAGGAGCCTGATTTGGAGCCCAACGTTGTCGTGTCCTAGCATTTGACGTCTACGCGTGAAGAGAGGCGAAAAGTTTCCTTCTTTAGGTAAGTAAAAAAAAGGAATATATAAAAGGTAAATATGTACGCCATTTTTCGGTTGACGGCACAAGTTTCCAGGGTTAGCTTTCTAATTTTGTTCGCCCACATTGTGTAGTGTTATTATAAAATAATGAATGAATTACTGCTGTAAAATATTTTTAGTAATTATTTACTTTATGCGAGTCTCATATTTTTATGAAATTTTACCAATTCCCGTCATTTCGAGATAGCTGAAAATTAATTAAATATTTTTTTCAATTGAAAAAATCGCAAACAAAACTAATTTCAGATTCATGTTCAGCACCCTGGAAAAGGAGAGTTGGCAAAATGTGATTAGAAAAATCAGAGTTTTGTGACAAAAAGAAATAATTAAGTAGGTACGCTTCGATTTTTCAAACCTAATATTTAAATTTTTAGATTTCCAAAGAATGTTGACATAAAACGGAGATGGGTGAAGGCTATTAAAAAACAGTACTGGACACTAGCAAGTACATTATAGTATATATTGACGGTTCCGTAATAACAAGTTCTCTAATAAAGTCAATAAAATGTGAATACTGTGTAAATAGTTTCATGTCAAATACACAGTATTCGTACAGTCAATTAATTTTTATTAAAGATCGTGGTTGTTTGACGTATCCATCTCGAGATGTCGTAGTAATATGCCAAGAAACAGAAAAATTAATAAAATTTTTTAATAATGATGAAAGCAGAACACCTAGGCTACAGAAAAATAAAATTGTTTATCATGTATTAAAAAACTTTCTGAATGTGAACATATTTGAAAATTTGCATGAACATCAATTTGATAATTTGCCTAACCATTGTAATCATTTAATACAACTTGTAAGGGCTGAATGTGAAAAGTATATCGATGTACGAATAAATCATGAAGTCAAATTATTTAATTCGGTAAAGTCTACGAAAAGACAAATATTAAATAAATTAATATTATTTAGAGGACAATAAATATATTTAAATTATTTTGTAGTTTTATTTAATATGACACTAAAATATACTATTTTCTGAATTACAAATTTAAAATTGAATATTTGTCATAGGATGCAATATAATGTTTAGTACGTCATAAACATATTACTTAATCCGGATCTGCTTAAAGATGCGCGCGATCAGATTGCCTTCCACACTCCACTACCCCGGATTTTGCATTCACTGGTACCCGTGCATTGGAATTAGATACGGCCAGTCTAGGTGGTATGTAGTTTTTACAGTATGAAATCAAATATCAAACAAATCTAGACAAAAGACTGATCCAAAATAGTTATGCCATGCAACTGCTACAGCGCACATGTGTGTTTTTTGCAATGAGCAGCACTATATCTTTACATGTGAGAAATTTTTAGTTTTATCACCAAATAACAGATTTGAACGAGCCAAGGCTTTAAACTTATGCATTAATTGTTTACGGTCTGGTCACAATTCGTCAGTTTGTAAAGGCGGTACCTGTAAAAAATGTAATAAAGGACATAACACATTGCCTCACTTTGGTGAAAACAAGAGAGTGACTGCAATTTCAAATAACAACAATTGTAATTTGCAAGATACCAGAAACACTGAAGGTACTAACGCTCAAACAACAAATTCTTTAATTACTCAAGACGTTTCGCAAAATAATGTAGTAAATTCTGTCAGTTCATTTATCTCATTATTCACAATTAAACGATTATATTTTCGGAATCTTTGTGTAATAAACATAAAACATAAACATAAAACACACCACAGAAATGAGACAACCCCCAAATCCAAAGCCAAAGGCTTGTGCGGAAGCGG